TTTTACTTAAGTAAAGTATCTGAATACAACTTCCTCCACTATTCCCGTTGTAGGAATGTCATACTAATCTAATCTTGAATATAAGTTGACAAATGGCTTTTTCACCCTCAGCAATATCTTGTTCTTTGACGGTTTCTGGCTCTTCAAAATCAGATAAGTTCAACATTGACCTTACATTGACAGTTCTGATAAATAGCACATTCCTTCAAGCTTGTCAAGCACCAGCATGAAGGGTCCCAGCTGCCGTCCTCATGCTGTGCCGTCAGCTCTGCTCAAACCCACATAGCACACATTCCTCACTGCCTCACCAAACGTGTGTGTGTGTGTGTGTGTGTGTGTGTGTGTGTGTGTGTGTGTGTGTGTGTGTGTGTGTGTGTGTGTGTGTGTGTGTGTGTGTGTGTGTCAGAGGGGGGTTCTGTCTTCATCTCTCTGCCTCCTTTAGTCTAATCTCTCACTCACTCACACAGCATAGACCTGTGTGTATGTCTGTCACATAAACAAGTCACTGAGTCCATTATATAATAAGGTCTGCCCAACCACTAATTTAACTGACAGTCAAAACACTCATACCACCCTGTTGCAGTCTGTAAAGAGGAAGTGACACATTATCAAGACCTAAAGTTCATTCTGAATCAAGAGCCACGTTTTTTTGTTTTTTTTTTCTGGCTGTGTATACCTTCAAACACGGCATGTGATGAGTGTTTGCTTCAATGTTCTAACACACACCAGCACTGGGGATAAAAGGATTGTTTCCTCGCTGTACCCACACACACGCTGCCTGCATCATTTCCTGCCACAAACTGAAAACAGGTTTCACCTGCTGATGTCATGAGACCTCGCCTTTCTCAAACTTAAGCAATGTCAGGCCACACCCTAGATCTTGTCTCCAGGTTTCACAAACACAAAAACACGTACATGCAAAGACAGATGCACAGTAACACATTTGTGGTATCTCAATGTAGTGTAGCATGTGGTTTTAATGTCAGGTAGAGCTAGGACCCACACTGTTTTCTCTACCACCCATAAAACACAGACATTATCTTTGGTTTTTTGCATTCTCTGGGTAGTTCATGCCTCAACTCTCCTGGGTTACCTCCCTGAAACACATCAGTGATCAGCAGCACTCTCACTGTAAAAATTATTTTTTTCCTTTTATGAGGCGTGTGTGTGTGAGTGAGTAGCAGATTTTCGTAAATTACAGCATGTGTGAGGGTGGTGAAGTCATTTTGACCCAGTTAACGTCACAAGGATGGTGTTGGCACTTTTAACGCCTTGATGAAAGATTGAAGACAGCCCATAGAAGAGGAATAAAGACCTGGATTTAGTCCAGGGATCGTTAATAAAAAGAAAAGTTTGTCAGATTGGGCTGTTGGCCACATTTTGCTCCCCTTTCTCGACAAATGCAGTTTGCTTGCACAGCTCTTAGAGCTCCATAACAAAACCATGAGACCAGATGGATAATTCAGCACTTGTCATAAAAAGCAGAGCTCTTAAGAAAAAACAATCTGATTGACTGTATGTACTTATGCACATTAGAAGCCAACTAGAAGTCAGAAATCGAACATATATCGAATGATAATGGTAAAAGATCTGTACTTCTGACCACTCAAAGGTTTTTACAATACATGTCACATTCACGCATACCTGTCATCCCTCCTTTTTTTCCCGGAATTCTCCCATATTTTACCATTGTCTCCTGCTGTCCTCCCGTTGTGGAAATCTCCCTATTTTTAACCTTTTTAGCACCCCCTAAAAAACCTGCTGGGCATGTTGTATGTTTGCTACATTTGCTACATACAGTATGTGGAACATTAGCTGCAGCATCTACTGACTGGAAGTCATTCACTCAAACGGCACCTACCAGTCGAAGAAGAAGAAGAGCAGTCGAAGAATAAGAACATCGGTGTGAGGATTCAAGGATGGATTAACGTAAGAGGGATAGAGAAGCCCACCTTCCAAAAAGGTTAAAATTTCCCTTGTTTTTAAATGTTGACAGGTCCCATTGATACACATTCACAAACATTTGTACACTGACGGCAGAGGCTTCCATGCAAGGTGCCAACTCATCATTAACACACTCACACATCGATGGCACATTTACTGTTCAGTATCTTGCCCAAGGACACTTCACAATGCGGGCTGGGGATCAAACTGCCAATCTTCTGATCAGTGGGCACTGCGCTCTACCTCTAAGCCACAGCCGCCCCATCAAGGGATGACTTTCAGTAGATCGCAGTGCTGGGGCTGCTCTGCTACGTACAAGCCTTGACCCAGAATCAGGCACCAGGTTCTCTACAAACATGCAGAGATAGGAGAAGAGACAACCTTCATCCGACCACACCCCAGCCCTGTCATGAACGGCTCTACTCAACCAACCAAAGTTCAGCTGCACTACGGTATTGTAACATCTGGGCAGGATTCTGACTTAGAGGCGTAAAGGCAAACATCAAATAACAGAAAAGTTACACCGTCACCTGAAAGCTGTGACCTGTCAAACCTGTTCATCATGTTTTCAAGAACATGCCAACTGACTACTGTTTGAATACATTGTCGAATTAAATTACAAGGATATGGAGCAAGTCTGTTTGCATTTTAATCATTATAAATGTTGATTCACATGACAGCTTTTGCACTTAATGCAATAACCAGAGTTTGATAAGTCTATTTACAATAACACTGTCTCATACTGATGTTATAAAACACACTGTAGCATTAGCTCAGCGTTGACACTGTCTGGTATTATTAGCAAAGAACCGGCTGAATCACACCAGCATGGACAATATAATGGGCCATAAAGAACAACAATGGGTGAATTATTGTTCAGCTAGTCTGCAACAATTGCCAGTGTTAGTAAGCCACATTTAAGGCCTGTAAAGCCACATGAATACTACAAGACATCACTTAAATATGAGTTCTTAGAAATGTAGACATTTCTTTGAGGACAGCTGTTGGTGCACAGTAACGTCCCCCAATGTGTGGTTTCCTCCATTCTGATTTGCAAAGAGGATTTGGAATCTGACATATGAACATGATCTTGTGTTTTTACCATTGAAACAGACGTACACACACACACACACACACACACACACATACACACACTAGCTTCCCACCCTCATACTGTTTCACACACTTTACAAGAGTCTTTCAACTGTGAGTAGTGAGTAGTGTGTGAGTGTGGGTGTGTGTGAGGGAGAGGTTGTGTGTGATATACAACTGAGGTCCTATGTATTTGTGTGGATGTGTGTGTGTATACTTGTGCCTGTGTGTGTCAATAGTGGTGTAGTGGGAAATACAAAGTGTATGTGAGAGAGCGGAAGAGAGCTGAGGGACTGGACAGAGTTTCAGTCTCTCTGTTCTCCCTCTCAGGTTGCCCTGTGTTAGTGGCTGATTTATTTAGACTTTCTATTCACATTTGATTTTGTCATAATACTAAAAAAGTGTACATGTACATCACAGTGTGCCACCCTAAACATTGTTATGCCATTCTATTGAACCTGCTCAAGAAAAAATACACTCAAACTTTGTTAAGTGTAACCAATCCATAATTTCATGTTCAATATTTAGCCATTTTGCTTCACATTTTTACCAAAGCCACTGCCAAAACGATCATAACGTAGCTGCCAAATACCCGATGAATGCTCTATATTTTTACCATCATATAATGTATATTCACAACATTCTTCCCACTCACTATCACCACTAGTGTCCTCTACTGGCTGAGGTCACAGTCATAATCTCACCTGGACTTTCACCTGTCATAAATTGTAAAATGTCTGAGTCAGTGTCATGGTTGATGCCAGACAGATTACCCTCTCTTAAACTTAAACTAATTAAGTTTATATCTTGCTTGTTGCTCCTGGTTGAACTGTTACATGAAATACAGGCAGTCTGTCATATATTTTCTACAACAATACATACATGAAAGTATAACTAATCCACAATAGCTGTACTGAACAACAACAGGGTCTGAATTGCTAACTTGTGACTGTCAAGACAGCAAAATTGAGCTCAATCGACACAGGAAATAAAAAGACAAAAAAATGTTTTGAATGGATAGAAATTCAGGCACTGTGTCAGTTTTTGCGTATTACTACAAGCCAAGACACATCTGTGAAACTCCCCTCTTCCTTCGTCCCCATCTCTCCCTCTTTCTGTGTGTGCGTTGTTCCTGCGTTGCAGCCAGGAACATACTTTTCCTTTTAAAGAAACAGTCAGGGGTGAAAAACAGTTACAGAGAAAGCATAGGGCAGAATACTTTCATAGCATGCAGATAGAAAGGTGGGGCCAATATGAGAGAATAAGGGTTAGAGACATGGGGGTGTTATCAGCCGAGTCTGGCATGCAGGACTGAGGGATAAGAGAAGATAGTGGCATAACCTCAAAGAAGCAGACCGTGCAATGACGTAGAAAGTGATGATCGTTAAACTCCAAATATTCATACTACTGCTAATAAAACAACATGACAAAGAATCCAAAGGTCACTTTGAAATATTTTAATAGAAGTCTACTTTTGCTTGAGTTACATACAGTAGGTTGCATTAATTATTGTGCTGATTTCACCCCCAGAGCACAAACTGGATAATTTGTTGTATCAGTGGCCATCATGCTTTGTATCAAGTGCGTCTTCTACGCACATAAAGGAACATTAAACCAGAGCAGTCCAACTTTAATCACAGTTTTAATTGCACCTTTTAAATTAAATTCAGCAAAATTCTTGTCTTACTTTCATTAAACCATTTATTCTCTCTTCGAGAATTTGAGTAAACTCATCTTTTGGATTTTGTTTTTACATATTTGTATATTTCTAGCATTCTATGAGATGTCGTATTATTAATATATTGGAGATGGGTCAAAATTATGTGTTGAACTATTGCAAGAATCTGGATAAACTCAAAGATTACTATTTTGCATTTATAAACTGATGTTCTTTAGAATAGCCCACCAAAATTCAGCGTATTTTTTTTTAACCTCTCTTTGTCTCCTTCACTGTTCTTTCACAGATCAGAGTTTTAAGCTGAAGGTGAGTATTACATTTGAGCATTCATGAGAACATTTAAAAAGAAAATCTGTTTCTAAAACTTAAAAAGCTCCCTCTTTAATGTGACAATAATGACACTGTTGATGTATAATTTAAAATGTTTTTCACCTAGCTTATGTTCAGGGCAGTTTATAAACTTTAGGGGCATTTTCATGCCGTGGCCCCAGCTCATTTCCTGGCAGTTGCTTCAGCGTCAGTTCAGAACATTTTGTTTCATTTGTTTCATTTTCCGACTGTGGCTTCCCGTTTATCCCTGCCCCCTCATTCTCCTGCCTTTCTTCAACCTGGCCCCATTTCCGGGTGAGAAGGAAGAGCGCTGGTGCTCTGGAAAAATGGGACGGGAAATGGAAGGAGGGGGAAACGATTGGAGTTTCGAGAAATTGTAGAACTTCAGAGAAACTATTAAGAGTGTCAATCAGAGGTGACACACATGCTGGAGGGCAAACAAAAAGTAAACAGAGTGAGTTAAAAAGTAAAGTAAAAGTTAAAAAATGACATGTACGGTTCTGTCTATTCTACTCTGTTTGTTCTGTAACATCAGTATTGCTCAATACTGAAGGGTTTATGATAAGGCAGATGAAATGGGGGTTTTAAAAACTCCCCCAGTAGACTGGAGGTCACTGATTTCCTGGAACTGTAAGAACCTGATTTCTTTCCAACAACAAATTTTCCATTCAGTCGTAATCAATAGAACTCACTTTTGTTCCTTATAGCCCCCTAGAAGTCAATTTGGCTGACTATGTCACAATGGCCTTAGTCAAAGGCTTTTTATTAGACTGTAACACAAATCCTTGTTATTAAACCGTATATTATACCCTGACTGGAAACTCTGTGTCAAATAGTTTTCCCACTTTCTCTACAATTTTGTTTGTTCTTTTTTTCCCCCCTGGCGGATGAGATTCATTTTCTGGGTGTTGTCAGCACTGAAATCTGGCCATGTCCTTCCAGCTTTGGCAAAAGAACACCATGATTAAATAGTCCTAAAAATAAAACTCCACAACATCTGCTGAGTTCTTGCAGCTTAACGTGGTGCTCAGTGGACACAGGATTAAACCTGGGCAGCGGCCACTGAGCCAGCCTGTTTTATTTGTGGTGGAATCACTGTAGATCTGCCACAGGGCCAGCACAGTGGGAAAACACCACCTTACAGTGAGTCATAAAGTAGCAATGGACGCAGATATTTTCTGACAACACACAGTGGTGACCTTGGACTTGAAGAGAGAACCACACACACACACACACACACACACAAAGGGATAGGTCACCGACTTGCTGATAAAGCATTTTCTGTCCCAGCATGCTGAGGTTTTTAAAGGATAGCTCAGTATTTGAAAAGTACTTACCCAGAAAAAGTCAGACTCAGTGATGGCTCTTAATTTCTATTATTATTATACTATCTCAGTTTGGACTTAGAGGAAAGGGAACAGCTAGATTAACTCTGTTGTACTTTTAATGGATTTGGAAGTAACTCCTTTACAAAGTCAGGAATAGACTTTCAACGCTCATTACATCACTTAGAACACCAGTACTAGTACACAAAGTAGTACATATTGTGCAGAGACAGACACATACGAATTTAAATGTTATTATGACTCATAGTGTGACAGTTGTTGCTAAACTCCTGAAGAAGCTCCATCTTGCAACACAACCCAGATCATTTTCTTTCGCAAAAGAATTTGAATCACATCAGCCTTTTCTCAGTTTTCTTTTCTCTCTCACTTTCCGTTTTGCGCTTTCTCCGACTTCTCAAGCAAGGAACTCAAGGACTTATAGCCAAACATCTGCTGCATCCGTATGACCAGACATCTAAAGCTGAATTAGGGCTGTTTTTTTCCCTGCTGCAGTTATATGACTTATTGAAAAGTTTTAATGCATGCATCATCAGATCAGAAGATCAAATCAATTCCACAACAGAATGAGATTTGTTTTGTGTCACAGTCCTTCATGGTCAGTGTGAAAGATTGTGGCATAAAGCTGATGTGAGATTTTTTTTTTCTTCTTCTTCTTCATCTGTTAAGAGCCTGTTTGTTCCTGAGGGGGGAAAACTTCACACTGACGAATTTGTTTGGGATGTGGATGAGAAATGTATAACTCTGTGGAGAAAACACCCCTTTCGGAATAGGAACACACACACACACACACACACACACACACACACACACACACACACAGACATACACATACAAATACACATTACAGATTTCACTCCATTGCAAGAAACTACCATTCTCACTCCCCTGAGGCAAAAACCCTGATAAATAACTTGTAAGTTCCATGCTGGAAAACACAAGCATTAACTGTAGTATTAGCATTAATAGTTTCAGCTGTCACAGCTAGATTGTAGCAAAAAAAAATAATAATTGAATTATTACAATTTTTAATGGAACATCTGTCTTTTGACAGAGTTTGGCCCACAGCAGAAATTCCTCCAACACCACACTTCTGCACTGATAGAGGAAGCGGGATAAATAGTTCCTCAACACTGATGAGCTTTGCAGATACATATATATTTATCTATATATATAGATATATAGTCTCACATTAGATTTGTACATTTGTAGTGCCTGCCAAATACACTGTTTATACTTAGTATTTTATTACATTAGAAAAGTGCAGCATTTTAAGCTCAAATTGGCTTTTCGTCAGAGGTATATCTGCATAGGCCTATTAATGACTCAACAACTGCAAAAAATCACCTTTCCTGCCTTCCTGAAGAGGGAAGCTGTGTGTGTGTGTGTGTGTGTGTGTGTGTGTGTGTGTGTGTGTGTGTGCGCGCGCGTGTGTGCGCGCGTGTGTGTGTGTGTGTAGTTTTTGAGTGTTTAGCTGCATCATGCCTGATCTCGCCTTGGGAAGAAACACAGCAGCAAACAAGCCCGACCAGTCCTGTGTCACGTTGATGTATGCCACAGGCTACACGTTTATGCAGGGTTCATCCCTTTCACTTCACAGTCAATGTAGTAAAGTCCATTCTCCCAGTTCTTTAATGTTTTATTCATATACATGATTTGATGATAGGCCAGTAGATTTGATCTTCTGTCATTTGTCTTCATTTCTCCTCCTTTTTAATTCTCTATTCCTGTTTTTCCTCTAATGCTCCACGCCATTGGTCTGCTTTTGTACAAAGCTCTGGAACTAGTTACATAAATTGATTTAATGGACATTGGTTTTGAAACCCTATTTTAACTCTAAAAAGATAACCAATATTATATTATTACTCTAAACATCAGCTAGAGTGAAGTGAAGCAGGAAATGAGCCCACTGCCCACAGTAATCATATGTTACTTAAAAGAGGGCCCAATATACACAAACTTGCTTTTCTCTGTGAAATCATGAAAAAAGATTATGGACTGGAATACAGGAGAAAAGAAATACAATTTACTCTATTAATCATGCCATAGCTGGTCTCTTAACTCCAATTTCTTCACACAACTCCCTACTTTCAGAGTAACATCACCATTATTGATTCTTAACATAACAAGAATCAACCTTTTGAAACAAAAAATTAAAAAAAAAAAACATAACAGAAAAGAAACGACATAAATGTACACAACAGGAGCAAAGAAACATTATTAAACAGGGTCAGTTCACTGCTTGATTTGTGGAAGTAAAGGTCAGTACATTGCTTGAGAAAGGAAAACACCACACTTTGATTGCAAAATGACTGTTTCGTGTTCCCCTGCTCCTATAGGGTGACACATACACAAGAAATTCTGACCAATCATCTGTTTCGACCTGCCAGCTTCCTGGTAATGGTGCTGATAATTTACTCAGCATATAGACTGACTGACTTACTGTTACAACATGTGTAGGTTTCTCTCAAGTCTTCAGCACCATGCCATAGCATACAGGAAAATGAACCTCTGTGCTACCTCTGGCTTATTTTTCTCTTGATACATTTCTCTCAGCTAAACATAACAATAACACAAATAAAGTTGCAGAAGTCAAGAGAAACATTGTGCATAGTGCTCCATAGTGATCCAAGTAACATTGCTCGGTGAAACAAGATTCACTTTCACATGCCATACAGCATTTGCAGCAACACCTCAACTGCCTGAAAGCAACGCTGTTTGCACAGTGACTTTAGCCACAAATCCTGTCCTCTCAGGGTTATTGAACCTTTGAATAGTGTCAAGTCAAATGACCCTCATAGTAACATATGTGTATGCACGTTCACAGTGCATTGTGGTGCAGTGCATGATTTCCAAAGTGCACAGAAACATCATTATCTGTTACATGACATATGCAAGATAAAGTGGAGACACTGTGTACCTGCCTAAACATATATATATATATATATGTATATATTATATGTATATTTGGATAGACAGGTACTTTCCCCGTCCATAAAGTCAACATGGGCTGACAACCAAATTAAATCACTGACTCACTGACTTACTTTCCCTCCTCCCTCCTATCCCTCTATCTCTTTCTCTATCCTGATGAATCACCTGGTAAATTCAGAGACATGAGCAGCTTGGTCTCATCACATTTCTGTGGCGGGCAGCCATGTTAGCTCTACAAACCTGCCCCAAGGCTGTTGCTAAGTAACTGTTGAACCGGTGCCCGCTTATGTGTGCAATGTTTGGCATGTCACCATAGCAATGTCATGGAGGACATGGTTAAATATTTGCAGAGTATCACTTATTAGAGGCACAGGTCCGTCAAACTGGATCTGTCAGGGGCTTCAGGAAGAACTGGACCTGGGACAGAGGGAAAAGGGAACTGAAAAAAAGAAAATAGTGCAGGGTTTAAGGGCATAATGTTGTTCTGAAGAAGATGGAAGAAACTAAAACGATCACACATTTCAAAAATAAAATCATGAAAGATAACAACAATCAATGAAAAATGTATGGTTTAAAAAAGAGTTAAACACATTACCTTTAATATAGGCTACTTTTCATCTCTGTCATCATCAGCAGCAGCATCAGTTTTGTTTCAACATAACGGAAACCGTAGCAGCCTCGGGTCATCTTCTTTGTATGTTGACCACACCTGGCTGTCATCATGACTTGGCAGTTTTCAGCCATCCACTGTGAGTCAGACTCCTCAAAGGTTCCCCTCATTCCCCTCCTATTGGCGTGGAGTAGCCCTTGTGGTCTCTTCAGAAAGGAAACCCTGTATTTTCATCAACCCTCATCAACCCTGATGAAAATACACCAGCGAACGTAATTTCTTTTCAGCATTATTAATAAAGTCGTATATTCAAACTGTAGTTCAGCTGTGGGATGAGAAATAATTCAGTTGTTCTGGACAGTAGCATCACATCACAGTTGAACCTGCCTTTAATAAGCTATAATATTGTGTATTATAAATTCTAAACCGGTGGAATGTAGTACATGTTTCCATTTTAAGTTACTGTAATACAACACAAAGAGAAATATTGTCCTTTTTACTCAGGTTATGACACATTGTTATCGATTAAACTACCCAACAGTATATAATGTAGTTTAAATTAATGTAATGTGTGTTACTCTTAATTAATTTCATCCACTGATGAGGCAATTTTACTTTAAAAGTTAAAAACTCAATATTTAAGAGTCCAAGGGTGTCTCAAAATAACTGATGAGAAATTGTACTGACTTTCAATACGTTGTCAACCACTGATCTGGTTCCCTGATTGAGTTACATGTAAACGTGCGTTTACATGTAACGCTACATGGTTGATAAGAGTAAACACGGGTCTATTTTAGTTAATGATCAATCTATATAGCCTTAGTGAGATTACGCAGTCACAGTACACAGTTGCACAGATGCTATGCAAGCATACTACAGGGATGTGGGTATATTCTGTGTGACATGTAGTAGCTTCTTCTTCTGTTTATGTTTAATGTTCATTAAGTTTTTGTTAGGTCACAGACATAAAAGAAAAAAATCCATGTCATTCTGTTGGAAGACATCACATCAAAACAAATGAGTCAATGTGGTTTTATGCTATAGAATAGCAAGATTTTCACATTAAGTTTCATGTAATGAGAGGAAACGTGAAATAAAGCATCATGAGTGGTTGCTATCAAGGGCTTTAAAGCCAGGGTTTTCCAGCTGAGGAATGGTCTCCCTATGCTATGCCTTCCCTAAACAGTTACATGACAAAATACTCAAAATTTAATATAGGTTTTCATTCTGAGAAACATACAGTATGTTTAAGATTTGAAACACCTGAGCTCGTCAACTATTGTTCAGGTTCTGTTAGATCTCATAAAGTCTCCACCTAATGCCTCTATTCCTCATATTACAGATTTTCTCACAGTCATGCTTATGCTCTCTTTTAAAAACATCACTGACGCACCGTTGTGAGATCATGCCCTTACATGTTAGAAAGCGTATTACTTAATGTCATTGGAGAAAAACCCTGCTGGAAAACTTGGCATGGAGCACTCACTCACTTAGTCGCCAAGGACAAAAAACAAACAAACAAAACAACAACAACAACCCAATAACCCCGAAGCCACCGTCGGCAGGAATGCTCCCATAAGCTTGCATTTGTGTGAGCATGTGTGTGTGTGTGAGGGTGAGAGCCTCTCCCTACTGGAGTGACTTTCGATGCAACTGTGACAAGAGCTGAACAGAAACAAGAAGAGCGAGGTAACCATGATACAAACCCAATCACAAAAACACATACTACAAACACACATGACACAGCAACCATTCGCTCTCCTTACCTCTCAGCCGATTTACTGGCAATTTACTGGTAAGAAAAAAGTTTGAATTAAGAAAGACGGGAAGAGTCCACAGCCTCATAATTTCCCACAAGTATGTAATGCTGGCAGGTTTATAGTTGGGTGTGTTATTTATATCTAGCTGTAGTTATTCATAGCTGAACATGAGATGCCTGTTTGGCTTTAGTCGGCCTGTCAGTCTGTCTGGGAGTTGTGATGCCTGCACATGACGGAGCGTTTCATTCTCACTGGAAGCTTCTTGCATTTATAAGAAAATCCTCACACTCAATAATAAGCATGGCATGAAAGAATGAATGCAACATTATATCACAGTAATTTTTAGTAAACATGAACAAACAGCTGTGACATTATTTAAAGTGAAATTAAAATTAACTATGGCCTCTTTGATCAGACACTTGAAACCATTAATTTAGAAAATAATTGGGTATTTAAATGTATCCAAAACATGTACAAAGAGTGGGGGATACACTTAAGAAAGTACAGTGAGAATGAGAACATATTCTGGGGATAAGTTGTAGTGAAATTATGGTTTAATATTCCTTGACACAAAAATGGGAAGTTACTTAGAACGATTACAATATTTACGCAGGCTTTATATTTCTATGTATTGTCTGGAAATAAATTTTACATGTCAAAATACAAAAAAAACCAACTTGTTATTCAAAACATAAGATGACCTCAGGCATTGAGTATATGTTGCCACCTGGGTAACCCATAACATTGAGATACTTCTTGACGGATCAGTAATTTCACAGTCTGAGCTAATATTGATTTTTACTAAGTGAAGGTTTTGCCCATTGTGGTATTGTTATGTTTACTGACGTATTTGAATGCTTTTTGAACTACCGTCATGTAAAAAGTGGTAGCCATATCCGTTTGGTGTCATGGCACTAACAACAGCAACAACAAGAAAATCCATTGCACCCTTCTTCTGTTTATTATTGTCACATGTTACCACTTAGTAATCAATATTGCATTGACTTCTCTATACTTGTAAAACGTTTATTAGAACATATTCGCTGTCATTGCCAGGATTTAATATGACTCATGTGAGTGGGTGACACATGCCGCAGAAGAGGTGCAGAAAATAATGTAGTCTCCAGATTAGCTGATATCAGCACAACAGTTTTGTAGAAACAACATGGGAGCTGCACGCTACACCAGATGATGCTTCACTCTTGCCCCAATTTTCCCCACACATCTCACTGTTAAATCACAATAAAATCTTTTATCAGTCTGTATTCGCAAATCTTGCGGTTTAATTCATTAATCATCAATACACACTGCAACGCAGGTTTGGTCAAATAAACAGTCAGTGACACAGCACTGCTCAGAAAATAAAGCTCTCATGAGCTGTGGAACTGATTTAATGTGCTGTAAGTGTACTGTATTTATAGGCTGCAAGAAAAGACTGTGTGAAATTTATACATTGCATATACACATTTATAGACTTAAAAAGTCAGATGACACTGTGTGAAAACAGCCCTTGTAATGTGTGAGTCCAGGAAAAGGAAACTCTTAGTGATCATGTATACACCCTACAAAGTAACACATGATCACATAACACACACACACACAAAGACACCCACTATGTTACTGTAATACATTCTTGGGGTGGGGGTTGGGGGCATCTGCCATGCTCCTTTGAATTCCTATAAGAACGAAAACAACAACAAAAAAAAAAAACTGCTACAACGCTCACCATAGAAACCAGCGGTTTAAAAACAAACATCAGCCACTAACCATAATCTTCTGCCAATAACATCCTCAGTTTTGTTTGTGAAGCCTTATTTCCGTTGTGGGCCATAAAGTTAAAAGTGGGACACGGGTGTGAATCTTCCATAAAAACATTTTCAAAAAATGTGCTGGGCATGGTTAATGCAGGAATGTAAAAAGTGAAATGATATTATGATCGCAAGAGCGCCAAAAGTAGGAGCACAAAGGATGAAACACAAATTATTGAACACAAAATAAAGTATGTATACAAATACATTATATAGGAGATGAGAGTTCAGTGTTCAGGTTAAATCTGTTTAGAGTACTTGACCTTGGTGTTTATTTTTACTCACTTCTATCTTGTTTTTAGCCCAAAGGTTTCTGCCTTCTACTAATCAATACTTGTATTGCATGTGTTATGGTAACTGTTGGACTGTTTCAGTGCTTTGGTGGGATATTGGAGCTCTACTGTAATCACAACAGAAAGCGACGGGAATAAGGGAAATGTGCCTGTATGTATTCTGGTAAATGCATACATCTGCTCTCTGTGGGTGAAAAAAAACTTCCTGAAAACCTACCATTAGTCATAGGAATGTATATGCTGTAAACATATGCTTACATGCTGTTACTGTGTACATGTTTAGGCGTCTGTTACAGAAAAGCTTTGCTTTACTTGTTGATGTGGGATGAAAAGTATCAGTGTGCGGGTTTAAGCAAACAGCCTCCTTTGCCACTTCACATCTGGGTGTTTCAAATCCTGAAAAATTTCACAGAGCTGGAATGATTTATCACTCACTGCAGAAAACCTCTCATCATTCATAGGAATGAACATGGAAAGAATAAGAATAAACACAGAAAAAACAAGTGAGCCTAGATGGAAAGCATGCATTAGAGCTATGTAAATAAGACACTTTGCTTTCACATGCCTACGAAACTGAAACATTTCACACAGCTAGCTAAAAATACACAGTTTTCTTTCTTTCTTTTTTTCTTGTTGTTGTTTTACAACCCGCCCTACTCTGAGCTCACTATGAAACCTGAGGAGGAGGGAGGGTCAACCGGGAACATAGCATGTGGAAACTCCTCCCAACACAAGGAGGAGTTTCTAAGGCAGCTATAAAAAGAAGCAACAGAACACAGTTAACTTGACAGAAGTCTAGACACAGGTATCAAACAGTCAACCGTGGATCACAGCTGAATCTTCTTCTTTTGGTCAAAAGGGTACAGCATGTCCGAAATGCATGACGACATCTTCACAAAGGTGAGTCAGAATTTACAAATTGTTCACTTTGTTTTGGAGAAAAAAAGTGCTTCACATGTTGGGAGTACGTTACCTCTGCAAACTCCTTTCCTAAAGCGTTTGCTTATTTATTTGTTGCTGCTGTTTTTATTGCTCTGATTTGACAGTGAATTCCTTTTGAACTGAGTTTAGTCACAGAAGATTTTTTCCATTTAAAGACATAATGAGGAAAGGGGGACAGTCAGCTCTGGGTTGTTTGTTTCTTGAATTCCAATCTATCAGAATATTCCTGAGAAATAGAAAACAGTCAATTATCTACATGTAATTTGTATTTTGTGATTTCATGTAAAGGTTATGTAACTTCGAGTTGTGTAGATATTCCCTCCCTTTTTATTAAGGCCTTCTTAATTACTTTGTTTTGACATTTTTTGTGTATGCAATCATTCCCATTTATGTCTTTAAGAAATGAAAGATATTTAATATGAAGCTGTTAACTACAATACTCTAACTTTAAATAGATTTTTTGCAGAAAGTAGGATTAAAAAGATTATAAATGATGATGAATATTCAATACATCAAAGAGTACATTGCTTTGAAATTAGTAATATCAATGTCTGTATATTAACTGTGTCAACCATCTGTAACAGAACTTTCTGAACCTGGCCCTGGATGATGCCTTGCTCTTGGCACAGCCTCCACTCAAAGTCCCAGGGCAGAATCGTCTGAACCGGTCAGCCTCCTTCTTCTCTCCCCCCTCCCCTCCTGCCTCCTCGAGCCACAGCTTGAGCACAGAGCATGTTAACAGTGACAACGGCAGTCAATTATGGCTGTCCAACATCTGGAGCCAGGGCCCGGTTTCCAAACCGAAACAGCTCCCTTTCAGGCCCGACCGCTCCATGAGCCTGACAGAAGCCAGCAGCGACCTGTTCTCCTTGAGACAGCTGAAGAACCTGGAGGCTTTCCCCTCAGGCCCTGCTACTACTGTGGCTCCACCGCCGGGCTTTCCTCCCTCATCTGCCCTCCCACCCCAGGTTCAACCAATGGTGTCCCCTAACCGTTACAAGACTGAGCTGTGCCGTGGCTTCCAGGAAACTGGCAGCTGCAAGTATGGCAGTAAGTGCCAGTTTGCCCATGGCGAGGCAGAGCTGCGAGGACTGTACCGCCACCCCAAGTACAAGACAGAGCCCTGCAGAACCTTCTACAACTTTGGGTACTGCCCTTATGGCTCACGCTGCCACTTCATCCACGAGGACAAAATCAGCGGAGCTCCGTTAACATCTGCCACGTTCCAAAATCAGCAGCAACCAACTCCTGGTCGCCACCAGCTCCGCCAGAGTGTCAGCTTCGCCGGATTCCTGGCACGCAGCTCACCTCCTCCATCATTCCCTTCATCCTTCAATGATCCTAACCTGGGGTTTAGCCGTGCTCCGTCTGTTTCTCCACCTCCTCCTGATCTCCTCTCCCCAGTGTTTGGTGACTCCCTGCCAAGGGAGGGAGCAGCATTCCAGTTTGGCAACCATCAGACCCGTGCCAGCACTGGAGACATCCACAACATTCCTGTCAACCTGGAGCCAAAGGCCTCACAATGTGTGTGTGGCCATGGAAATAATAACTTTAATAGCAACAACAGCAGAGTCTTCACCAGCATGGAGGACGAGCACCACCAGGACAGCAGCAAGCTGTTTCCTAGCCCTGGTGGCCACGGAGGATTTGTGAGGCCTGCTGGACTCCACCGTTTCTCCTCTGAAGACTCCCTGGAGGACAGCTACAGCAGCAGCAGCGGAGGTTCCAGTGGCAGTGAGTCTCCAACATTCGACGGCTCAGCAACCAAGAGGCTCACTGTGTTTGAACGTCTCTCCCTGTCTGACTAAACGGATCCAAAGGGAAAGAACAGAAGAGAATTGAAACCTTGTAAACGGTGTCTGTTTATCTGGACTTTCTTCAGAACCAGAACTTATCAGGACAAGTCAGCTGTTGATGACACAATAACACTTAAAGTTCTTAATTTATGTTTGTAAAATGCAACTTGTCTTGGATAAACTAGACATACCAAGATGATTTTAGTACCCAAATGTTATCAGACTCTATTTTTATATTTAAAAATACTGTGTAGCCTATAAGACCTTTTGTATGTGGTCTTCTGTAAAAATTAACGCAGTTCTTGACAGTTCCAGTAAATAGTCTGGTTTGTACTTACCGTAAATCCGTAGTGATCAAAATGGCTTTTCTATAG